TTTGACCTCTTTCGGGCAATTTATGTGCAATTTAAGTGCCATTTGCAAAGTGTGAATCAATTTCTTTGTTCACTGTACAATATTTTACTTTCAAACATATTTCCAAATTTTCAAGAAAATTAGCATGAATCTGGAAGCATGCTGCTGAAAAGCACACAAAATTAATGATCTTTTTAGAATTTTTCATGAAACAATAAAAATGATTGATTTACTTTGTACATATTTTATGAAGCTTTTTCATCTGTTTCACTTAAATGACATTTAAATATAGTGTTACATGTATGGAAGAGGAAAAAAGAACATAAGAAGACCATTTCACCATGTGCTAGCACTTTCATTTCTGATTGTTTCCGAGATGATATTTTCAAATGGCAAGGTGTTCCAAATATGCCATCAGCACACGCTCCTATTCAGTGTTCAGCCTCACTATACTGTTGACAAATTTATTCATAACTTCTGATCCCCTTTCAAAATTCCATTTAATTTAGTTCAGGCTATTGTTTTGGGCACATTCTTTTACTTGGGGACAATAAGCCGCTTTTCGCATGAACATGTCGGAATGACATGACAGTGCTGGCATGAAAGTGTCGTAATGGCATGAGCATGACACATTGAAGGTTCCATGATAACCACCAGATTTAACACATCTGCAGATATTTCCTATTTTTCAATACGTTACCATTTTCATGTTCAAATGTTCAGTTCTGCTTAAGCAGTTACTGGGGGGAGTGGACGGTAGCTTGCACTCTCCAGTACCGTCCATGACCAGGCTCAATAAAACAGAGCCTGCAACATTTTCAATTTTGCCATTTTGGGCGTTCTTTAGGGATTCTTACATTCACTATTTTCCAAACTTCATAATTTTGATATCAAATCTCCCCTTGCAGTTACAACGGACAGGTCCAAAGTCAATAAGGACAAGTCCAATATACACTTATTAACAGCGGCGTAGCTTCCTATAGGCACTGTAGGCACGTGCCTACACTTTTTCCTCAAAAATGAAAAATTAAATTATGACAAAATTGCGATATAAATTTAAGGGTAAGGGCGGTAGATATGTAGGTCCTAATATTAGAAAATGACCTGTCACCTTGCTTATTTGAATCGAGTTTTATACTCTTTATATCGAGTTTTATTTCATAACGAAAGTGTTGCCGTGTTATGAAGTTGTTCTGTGGTAAAACCTATCATAGACGGATGAAGTTTTTGACAATATAAAAGTTTTTGAGCGCTTCGATTCAAAATATTAATATTAGAAGCTACAAGTATGCACGACAATGATCGGCCATATCCAGATATCGGTAGTACTAGCTTTATACAACTAATGAGGAAGCTAAGCGATATCTTTCGAATGAAGGCTAGACATCTTGTCTTTTTTATTCTCTTCCCTTCTTAAGGTATTCATGATTTAATTATTTGTTCGTTATTCTGTTCAAACTGCATCTCCGTCAAATCTTGAGCACAAATGAAACCTGGCAAGTTCATAAAGTCGATTTGAAGTAAACGTGAAACATAATCTGTGTTATTACATTTTTTTAAAATGTATTTTAATTATATATAATGTGTTTGAATACACATCAAAATCTGCATTAATTAGCCAAGTGGTGGAGAGTTTGCCTTTAACACTAGCGATGCAATTCCCTTTTTTTAAATTTATACTTCAATGAAACTTTAATATTTATTAAATTGCACTTAAAGTAACATTTACAAACATTTCAAAACAATGTAATTCAGATTGAATTGGAAAACATGTATAGAGGATATTTGTTTGTTTTGCATGTAAGATTGAAATATAATTTCACTGAGTGAACACCAGATGCAATATTTTCACGAGTGGCGTAGCCACGAGTGAAAATATAATAGCTGGTGTTCACGAATGAAATATATTTCAATCTTATATGTAAAACAAACAAATTTTCTTTTTATTTCATGCTTTTTAAGTGATTTTAAGTATTTTTTACTGATTTTGCCGCGTAACGTCGCGCATTCTCCTTTGTGACGTCATCACATCATGACGTGACATCATCAATTTTGAAATAAAGTTCTGTTACATTTCTCTAATTTTGTTACATTTTTTACATGATGTATACTGACATTGACTTTCTTTTCCTAAAGAAGCAAAATTTATGTATGACGGCATTTATTTCTGCCTGTTATTCCATTTAGTTTTTCTTTTCATCCCCATTCAGATATAGTCCGGCTACAGTGAAAATTATATTTTATAAATTTCACTAGTGGTTTATCAGAATATAATCATCTGATATATTACAATAAAACACTGGAAAGCATGAAATAAAATACAATACCTCTCCAGCTAAAGTAATTTTCAAAATAAAGATACAAAAAGTTGCGGATAGATGTAAGTTCGTTGAAAGTACAACGAAAAATAAGAGAATAATTGATTGTTGAATTATCACTTTAGACTTAGGTAACTTATGGAGAATTATTAGAAGAAAGGAAGAACGTAAGGAAAAACATGATTGAAAACATCCAATTTTTTAGTTCTTAAAATAAACACATGTAAATAAATATGAGCGTTCTGACATGCCACATTCATTCACACTGAAAGTAATACTTACAATTGTGAAATAGATTTTTGAACATTCTAACACTACTTCGCGCGAAATAGTTCATTCAAATTACAAAAATGTTGGAATTCTACTACTGGAGGTGTAAGTTTGCTTTGTCTTTACTTTCTTTATATGTTTGACTTCACGTAAACAGTCTATTCTATGTTCTATATATGTTTCACTAAGGCTTTAATTCATGAAATATGTGAGCATAAAATCTTATTGAGAAAATGTATTCGAGGCTGTTTGTGTGACATTAGATATTTCATCATCAATTTGTAAATACCGATTGTCCGGTGTATAGGGGTGCATTTAGTTAATGGCGTTCGATCTTGTTGATCTTTGTTTTCATTATTTTCTAATTATATATTTAGACAACCTTATTTTAAATTTTGAAATTTTGATGTTTGCCTAAAAAATTGCATAAATTTGTTCTTTTTAAATGTATAGTTCTGGATTCATATATTATTACCCAAAACTATATACGGAAAAAAGGCTCTTTTTGCCAAAATGTCACAGTATATAGCTTTGCGTTGAGTAAGTGATATAAGTATGGTCACTCATCTTTAAATTGATGGAAAAAATGTAACCAAAATTCAGCAAAATTATGAAAAGTCTTCCTTCAGAACATGCCTTAACATACCCCAGAATGCAGCTATGGCAATGTAGATTTTCAAAATTTTCAGGGGGAGCATGCCCCCGGACCCCCCTAACACAAGTGCCTACACATTGGTTTCTTTCAAGCTACGCCCCTGATTAAGGGGTGTCAGGGTTAATATTTCAATTCAATCAGATAATATTCTGAATTCACACGATAACTTAAAACAGTCTGTGACAATGGATGATTAATAGCTTAATATGCTACTTTAAAGTTATTTATAAACTGTATGCATGCATTGTGTTTTGTAGACAATTTGAAAACACATTGTCTTAATAAAAAAAGATTAACCAATCCATAGATTTTCAAATTAGATAATCGTTAATTTATTGAATATATATAGGTCACCTGTCTCTATATTATATGTTATTTTGGTTTTGGAGTGATATATGTGGATATATTACCTGTTAAGATTTTATATCACCCGAGCCGTTAGGCGAGGGTGATATTTTATCTTGACAGGTAATATATCCACATGTATCACTCCAAAACCAAAATAATAATTTTATTACCCTTCCCCTGCCGAGTTTAGACGATTTTTTAAAAAATCATTGCTGTTTCAAATGAAACGTCGAAATAAGAGTCCCTTTAGGATACCTCTTCGTCACAACATGACGTCACATAAATACATGACGTATTTTTCCCGTACCTTACGAAAGTAAACAATAGAAAAGGAGTAGTCTGTTGAACGCACTTTTTTGTAATTAATATCAAGCTTTCACAAGGTCATATTTGTTTTCGATACTGATGGTTATAATGTATCATTACTCAACTTTGGTAAATATTTATCATTTGACAGTTAAAAAGTGCTTTTAAATCGGAATTTACACCGCGTAAAATCGAACCGTACGCGCATCACCTCAGCGCATATTGTTTACAACGTTGGGTACCAAACGGGGAAATTTAGTGTGTATATTACCCGTCTGGCTCGGTTATATCAATTTCTTTCGGGTGATCAATATCCAATCAAAAAGGCGGAAAAAATCTGGAAGGGTAATAAACATGTATGTATATAATTCGTCACCTTTAGTACAGTAACGCGTTATCTCCTATTAAATTATATATAAAGTTAACCCATTACTGCACTAAGGTGACAATGTAATTTTGTTTAGTTTATAATTGTTAATTTTAAAGCTATTGTTCCTTATCTTTTTTCTTTTTGGCTTAAATTGTTCATTTAAAGTTATATACATTAATGAATATATCTAAAAACGGATAATTTCGACATTACATGTAGATACATTATGTCCGTGTATTGGTTTTAGTTATATTTGTATATATCTTGAACTTTGATCTTGATATTTAAGACATTAAACCATGTTAAAACCCACTGAGAACACAAGAACTATCTACTGTTTAAAAGAACTGCCTTGTTAAATATTTATCTTTTGTAATTATATGATTTTAGAATGGTTAAAAAGATATCGACCAAGGTAATTTGACTTGTGACAAACTGACCTTAAAAAATTGCTTAGGTCAAAGATTTTTATCAAAAGTTTGACATTAAAAGACCAGAAAAGAAACAAGAATATTGATAATCAAAAAAAAAACTTAACTGGATTTGACCAGATAAAAAGATGGGTATAAAAAGCCTGTTTTATCATTATAGTATAGAACCGAATGCCTTTCATACTTAAATGTTCATACCTTATCATTTTTATCTATGGGAGAAGGTAAATAGTCAATATCCTTTTGATCGAAATTGATCCTTATACTATAGTACATTTTCTTTATTTCACAGGTCAAAGGTGAAGGTTATGTATACAACTTACCTATCTAACAATTTCTTTGCAAATCCAAAGTCGGTAATTTTCAAATGTCCATCACGGTCTAACAATAAATTTTCCGGTTTTAAATCCCTGTACACTATTGAGCGAGAGTGCAAGTACTCCAAAGCTGACACAATTTCACTGGCGTAAAAGTTCGCCATCGTATTACTAAAGCGTCCATAGTTGCGCAGATATGAAAACACTTCACCGCCCGGGACATATTCCATCAGCATGTAGAGGAATGTATCGTCATGATTTGCCCAAAACCTAGAAAAAATACGATGATATTGGTAATTATATTGGTGTAATATTACAAAGATTGATCATTGAATCCAAAGTTTAGATAATTGAAAACAACATATTAAGCAAGTAGCAGGTCTGTGAGAGATGTGGCACTACACAGTGTTTCTCAAAATCAGACAGAATCAATACAAGTCTGCGAATTTCAACTATTTGTTTTTTGTTTTCAATGGTCTTGAAAAAGAATTTTGTCATTTACAAACAAAAACATTTGCTACATAGCCTCTTCGACACAGCTCAAAAAATATTTCAAATTTCTCAGTACCTGGATTGCTGGAATAAACTTTAGCATTTAGGTGAATTTGACCTTGACCCCTATCAACCTAAAATCCAACCAAAGTGGAGGAAGGACACACAAGACATTTAAGTGCTTTTCATACTGCAATTATTAAAATTATTATTACCTCCCCGGGCTGCCATTTTGAGGGTCATTCCCTATATATTATATGCTTAAAGATAAGATAAAAACTTGTCATAATTCTCTGGAATAAAAGTCTCTAATCTTCTAAAAACAGATAAGAAAAAATTTCTTTCAGGCACAAAAATTTTTTAGCACAAAAAAATTTGGGCAGCTCAAAAAATTAATTTATCGAACAAAAATGCATTATAAATGGTCTCTTTTTTTGCACAGCAAAAAAAATTATCAAACAAAAAATGCAAAATCAGTGGGCTATTTTAACTTAAATAAAGTCAAAATTAAGACCTGAATTCTGTTTTGACATCTACTTATTTGTATATATTAAATTTCACAGTCGCTTTCAACAAAATACTGCCACAATGTCATGCAATCATACCATTAAATTTCCATCATGATGTAATAATTAGCATGAAATTCATTGTATATATAAAAACACACAAACCATTATTTGCTGCTCGAAGATATTTGGTCTTCTTTCATAATATTATTAAATCATCTTCATTCTTTTTTTAAACAATTTGGCAGAAGTTGATTTTGACAACTTCAGATTTAATCATTCAGTTATATCCGTTAGCGATTCAAATGACAAATGACATTTTAATTATTCATACAAAACATAAAAAAGATATTGAAAAAAATAAATTGTTTTTTTCCTACCTATGCCTTTAACCATACAATACTTACATGTTAACAATGAAAGGATGAGTTATTGATGAAAGGATTTCTTTTTCGTTGGTTACGTGTTCCACTTGGCGTAGTCGAATCACATCTGTTATTGCCATAACCTTGAGCGCAAAGTAGTTCCTCGTCTCTCTATTTCTTGCCAGCACCACTCTTCCAAACGTACCCGTTCCTGAAATAAAATAAGTTATTTAAAATATCATTTGGAAGTAAGAGACTGAAAATGTCACATTATATAGGAAAAGAAGGAAACGCATTATATTTTGGTTGATTTGTGCCATTCCTGTTTCATGCCAGCTTGTTTTCGCTATTTATTTTGTTTATTTAACTTTGCCCATCGCCCCTGCAAATTAGCATGTTTTCGCTCCATGTCCCATGCCATTTTAACTTATTAATCCTCGACATTTCGTTTGGCGGGTCGCATGGCGAAAACAAGAAATGGCAAAAAATTAGCCATTAGTAAAATTCACCTTCAAGAAAAATAAATACATGTAGTTTATCTAGTTACTTAAGATCAACATGCCAAAAAGAAACAAATCTTGATAGTTGTCATAGTCATATCGACGGTGAAAATTTCATTTTCCTTCAGAGTACTACTAAGGTACGCATTATACTTTAAAAACTGGACAATAGGAATTTTGTTAAGTATTTAAAGTCAGTAAGTTCATGTAATACTTTTCCTCACAAACATCAACTATCAGTCCATGCAATATTTTTTCTTACAAACACATTACCACAGTGAAACATTTTTTGGAGGCGATAATAGTAACCTTGACAATTTTCCAAGCAAGTGAAAAACCTGGCATAAGAGCTGTGGCTGTACTCCCCCAATTCAATCAACCAGCTTTTTATGTATAAACAATTCAATTTCTTTCACATGAAAGAATCTTAAGTCCCTGGTGGGATTTAAACCCATAGCAGTTAGGGGTCAGTATAACAAAGTCAAACAAACCTTGACCATTCAGTCAAGAGTCTCAGCCATCAGAACAAGTATTACATTTTAACAGAATAACAAGTTAATAAGTACAATTTTCAAACTTTACGCTCACTACTGGTTGGTTCCAGGGAACCGACTTGAGAGTGTGTTTAAATTATAAGCACAGTGGAATAATAAAATAAATTCTGTTAAAACTAATTAGTAAAAGTTATGTTACAAAATTTTACACTTTTCTATTGTCTACTGTCATATTAAGAACTGTTCAATATCTGTTTTGGGGATGACAAGATGAAAATTTGGAGTTGGTCATACAACAGTATAGAGCGGGGTCAGACTGCATGGATGTGCAGATACGCTAGGTTCTACTGGTGGCAAAGGCCAATCACTTTCGGGTAGGGTTGTAATTTGGACAACATCTTTAATAAAACAACTTTGAGCTATGGTCTTCAATCTATATTACTATACAAGAATATTCTGAATTATCAACTCCTCATACTGACTATAGGATAATGTTCTAGAGAAGAAAATTGCAATGACAGCAGTAAAAATAACACAAGCTGCTTCCAGTAAATGTAAGTGCGTATCAATATTGTAGAAAGGTAGGTACAAAAATAGAACATTTGTATACCCAACAATAGCAAGCCTGCCGATCTGTTTGTAATTATCAGATCACACACACTGACACACTGCCGCCACTATCTAAATATACCTCAATCAGCTGATCACCTGTTAGGCTGGGCTTATTTTCACTTCCATTTCTACATACAGGAAAAGTGAAATTTTACTCAAATTTTACATAATTTTACTATTAAAGCTTTGAATGTCGGCACTTATAGTCTGGTCTGCCTGCTGGCTCCACTACCGGTATACTTGTAATAAGGTAAGCCTGCAAAATTGTGCCGTCTGCAGCTAAAATATACTAGGACCTGCTGGAATTTGTTAAATGATTTGCCTTGCTTTAAATTTGGAACAGGTAAGTGGAAAATTAACGGTATGGCACTGGTTAATTGGTTTTGTTTCAAAAATAGTCAAATTTATAATACTGAAACCCTTTTTAAGCCTGTTGTACAAAGTCAGCAACAGTATAAGGGATGTGATCATGGCGTGCACTGTTCACTTTTCAGTCCAGGCATATTTTAAAATTTTCCCTTTTGGACTACAGTGGAGTTCCTTAATCAGACACGTTGAACCGCAGGTTTATCAAGGTGTGGCCATGTATCACCAGGAACAGTAGAGCAGGTACACGGAGACTGTATACAATCAATGGTATACATCTACTGCTCTAGCTTCCAAGTTTATCTCACCTGTATATAATATCATTCTTAAAATGACTCATTTACCAGTAGAATAATGTACTTTTCTGCCAGGCAGTTTCCTAAAATTTCCTTCCTACTACCCTGTAATTTTGCTATTATTAATGTAACTTTGATCCCTTATCCTGCTTGTATCGAAGGTGAACAGCCTTATGACAACATGGTCAGACTACAGTACGCAAACAAATGTGCAAGTCTGACCATTTTATGAGCTAATCACTTAGGTCCTAGGCTCTATATGTCTATAACTTAATTGTTGTAATTTAATAATGAATGTATTGTTTGCTCAAAACCAAAACAGGAAAAAGACTTCAATAAGCATTAGGTTGCTTCCAGTCTAATCCTTTTTGGTTTTTTTTGTAAATGTCATGTATGTAAATATGTTCTTATGTGACAAATAAATATGTTTAACCAACAGGGTAATTCTATTAAACATATTCGGCAGCTAATATTTTACTTCTACGGAAATATTAGAAAAAATTTCCGAATGACCAGCTGGTCTTACAGGTCTCTGCACTATAGTTGCTACTCGTACTCGCTACTGGGGTAGAAACTGTTGTCACCAGTGGTCTATGTGTTATTAAGCAATCATTTTTATCATCCATCATTTTAAATAATATGACGAAAACCGTTATAATGTTTGTGACGCTAATCGTATAGAATCCTGAATACAATATATTTGTTACACTTTTAGAAATAGTTATAGAAGCTTTATAATGTTTATTTGGAATAACATGATAATAAGCTTTATGATTTATAAATAATAGCCGACCAAAATAGCCGGTTTTGTTACTATTTATAGTAACCTCTATTGAAATATTAATGCTTTCCAATCCCCGATAATTCTAACGATGAAAAAGCATTATATGATATAATTTAAAGGTAATTAGCAATTTAACACTTAAGAGTTTCAATCCAAACATAAGTCCATATAAACCCCACAAAATATTATAAATGGACTGTCCATTCTTTAATCTGGATACAACCATTCATGATTTTTAGGGGAAATTTCAAAATATGTACTGAATGAATAGTGACCAGTGTAAACTAATAAATAGATGGCACTCAGTCAGATGTTTCTTGAAATCCAGGGATGGCAAAATCAATTATGTGTATTGTCCAGGTTGTCCCACAGCCTGTACGGACAAATGGAAATTTTCTATAATTTACTCTATATATCAGATATAACGGACAGTCAGATAAAAACTGACAAATAAGTCAAAATCAGATTTCGCCGGCCCCGTAATAGGTCATAATTTACCTTTTTTTCCAAATGACAACTTCCATTAAAACTGCATGGTTTTCCTCAGGAGCCGTGCATATCATTATTATAATATATACGGTAACCAAAAAAATTGCAATGTCAGTTGCCTTAAATTTTGTGGATTGTTTTCAAATTCATTTCCTTCAGAGCTTGTTTTTCAGTTATTACCTACTTCCTTCATCTAATTTCTTTTGTATAACTATATACAGCAATTGAATATTAAAATTTTATCAATCGTCAATATAACATTATAATAAAAAGAACAAATAAACTCGACTATAATACAAACAGTACAAACAAAACAGCCCTAAGTTTTCGAAATAAATTTCAAACTGAGTGCAATTGTGCAGTTTAGAATACAATCCTATAGTTTTAATCAGGACAATATTGCCAAGTATAATGAAATCAGACTCCAATGTAAACATTTTTATTCCGAAACCAAAAAAAAGAGGCCTTTCTTTGTACCAGGTACCCTTTGATAAAATCTCAAGTTTGTAAGGTTAAAATCTCTAATAGAGATCATCGAACTACAATTAATTATCTACTCTACGAAAAAAAAAAAAAATTTAAATATTTTGCCTGCCGTTTTTATTATATATAAAAAACAGGTGTTTGCTATTGCTTTTTTTGGGTCTGTCACAGTATTAAATTTTACTCAACAAAGACCTTTAACTCTGGAACAATGGAAAACATTTTATAATTAATACAAATAAATTTCATATCGATTATTCACTAAAGTTTCTTAAGAAATTTGAGAAAGTTTCTTGAGATGAAGCATTGAAAAATGTCTGTATTATATAACAAAAAAAATATTATATACTTTAGGCTTTTAATAAATTGACATGTCATTCATTATAAGAAAACATAGAAGATTTGCTGAGCTATATGTAGATACAAAAGAAATATTTCTGTCACTTATATTTGGTGGCAAACTGAATTCTCAACACTGAAAAGAAGTCTGAGAAAAGAAAGTCCAGACATTTAAGACTGAGACATGAAAGTTCTGACATTCAAGACTGAAAAAAGAAGGTCCTGATATTTAAAACTGAGAAAAAGAATGGACTGGCATTTAAGAAAATGAAAAGTAAATCTGGACATTAATGTCTGAGAAAAAAAGTCCAGGCATTTAAGACTGAGAGAAGGAAGTCCATACATTTAAGACTGGAAAAAAGAAAGTTCTGACATTTAAGACAGAGAAAAGAAATTTCTGACTTTCATAAAGTTACAATACTTTCAAAACAAACCAGCTGAAGAATTTAGCTACTCAGAGCTAGGTCAGACTGAAGTCTGGTCTATAGTTGTTCTTGGCACAAGCTAATCACTTTTGGTTTTCAGAGCAGGTTTTGAGTTCGGATTTTATCTGCCATGTAATGTTAGAAATGCCCTCATTTACAAGCCAAACTTTACCGAAAGTTAAAACTGGTAAGCTGCTTTATTTTCTTTAATCTAACTGTAATTATACACAACATTAAAGTTTTCAGGTGGCCAGATTAAGCCTTTAATTAATTCTTTAATCTGGAAGAATATAAACTTGTAGCTAGTATTAATTTATTCACAACAGAGCAATATGTCACTGACATTTTAGAGCCAACCTACAATTTAAATGCTAGCTGTTATGGTATATCTTAATGATTCTAAAAGATGTTATCCTGAGCTCA